ATTTGTTCTCCTTTCCTGCTCTGTGAACACCACAGAGCACAGAACGGAGCAATCTTTAACTTCAGCTGTTGTTTCTGTTGTAAGAAACAACAACTGTCTTTAAACAATGCAGTGCAATGCTTTTGTCTGGGGAGCTACTAAAGTAAGCTTTCCTCTTCATACAGGACTCAGCAGGCTAAAAATTAGTGACATTTTAAGTGGAACAATTCTTTCACCATCAGGTTGATATTTGGCTGCCATTCTGGTTACTCCCTTATAAGGCATCAGCAAGAGGGAAGGGCAGGGAACACATTATGCAACTGCTCGTTGTAAAAAGTAATTAAAACAAATTTTTAAGAAACGTCTGTAATAAACACTCTTCCAATATAAAAAGGCAAAAGGAGTCTGATGCCATTGGTCTAAGGTCTGTCATTTCTACTGGGCTAACCTGGGAAAAGCGAATTTCTCCTGAAAGGAAAGGTTTTCCTGAGTTTTTATGGGAAATAGTGGAACACTGACACCTATGAACTGCCCCTGCCTTCTCCAGAGTCTGGTTCAAATCTAGCTAATCAGCCTAAGAGGCAGCTCTGCCCTGGGTAATGAAGTGGCAACACTGGGACACCTGCATACTGTCCCCTCCTCTGTGTGCAGGTGTGATCCATGGAAATCTAAGACATCTAGTCCCAAGTAAAGGGTAAAGGGTTCTGTGGTGAGGCCATCCACATTTTGGCTGGTTTGTACAAACCAGCCCTTCTGCAGACAAGGAAATATCCTTTGGAATTTAACAGTTCAGATTTAAGTAGGTTTTTACCAGTAAAACCATAAAAACACTGAGACTTTTTACCCACAGAACAGACTCAAGTCTCCAGAGTGACAGTGATCTGGCACTTTGGGAGGTTTCTCAGTGATCCTGGAGGAAGTTCATGGCACAGCACAAGCATGCCAAGAAGCTGTCTCCTTCTCTGTTGCAACAGGGACAGGGTCATGGAGCCTGTACCACCAGCAGAGCCCCCTAAGCACACACAGATCCCCACTTGTGACAAGCTGCTCCTGTCAAGCCCCTTTGTTTTCCTGTTTCTGCCTTCAGCAGCCATTCAGGGTAGTCAGGTGTCCTACTGAAGTGATGACTTTCATTCCCTCCTCATCCCTTGGCTATGGGAATGGAAGTTATGACTCCTGCCCCTTCCAAACATTCCTGTATACAGAAGCTGAGTGTCCTATGGTTTGGTGTGATGCAGTATCTTTATTTTAACTGCAACCAACTGATGCATAACTGTGTTTCTCATAAGCATTATTCTACTACAATGGCTCATTAAAAGGGCCTTCAACAAAGTACACTTTTCTGGGAAGGCCCAGAAATTTTTCCAAGGGTTCGTCTGTGGGATGGCTGGCTGGGTTTTGTTTTCCTACCAGGAGACTTAATTGCTAAAATACCTTGGCACATTCTATAAATGCAGTACTTAATGTGACATTACACACAGCACTCTCAGAATTGTAAACAGCTCTCTTTATTACACAGAGTAGAAAAAGGTTTCACAACCTTTCATCTGGTCAAAGACAAGAAAAATTTCGTTTCCCCTTCTGTGGAATGAAATTTAACATATTCCAATATGCCAAGGTCTTTGCTAAGACTGGAGCTCCTCTACAGCATATCAGTGATCACAAGCTCAAACTCTGGAGCATAAGAGACATAGCTAATATAAGTTGCAATACAGTAAACACTCTTCCTCTCCCATACAGATTCGAGTTATCCCTTTAATTCTTCCCTCCCATTCATTCTGTCACCTTTGATAAACTCCACTTGTTCACACAACCTGCACACACCAAACTATTACTTCATCATGGCTGTTCCCTGTTACTAAAAGGTGAATAGTTGATTCCCTTTTTACTACTTCAGGACATTCTCACTCTTGTGAAATCCCACAAACCCAGGCTACCATTTTAATCAACTACTGCTCTTTTAACTAATAAAAACATAAAGACAATTCTTGTTCCTTAGACCATCAAAATCCCACAGAAGTAGTCTTCCAAATTCTAGGTCTCTTTTCTTCACATTCTGATCAATTGTAGCTTTCATGAAACCATGGATCAGCTAACAAATTTCCAAGTCTGTAGGTAAAAATATTAAAGATACACAACACAAACAAAAGTTTCAGGTCTACAGTACAAACCAGAACACAAAATCCACCATCTAAATTACCAAGAAATCTGAAAATCAGCTACTTGAAGCATAAAAATTTATATTATTTCCTGATCTGCCATCTTCTTTTGCTTTTTTAATATGTAAGAAGTATTCAATGAGATATCAATGCATGCCTTACAAGATTACCCGATTTCACAAGTAAGACAGTGTTAACTATGACAACTACCCATTTTAATGCTTTCCATACCACATACTTCCCATACTAATACTTCAAATTATTTATGACAAGGAAATTCAGTTTTTCTTGATCATTTATTTCTTCCCCTACTTCCTGTTTTGTTTTCTATTGTTAAGAGGAAAAGGTTCTATTACTTCCCCATGCAAATATTGGAGCAGTGGGACTGCCAGAAGTTATTCTGTAGTTTTAAACTACAGACTTGCAGGACTTCTGCACCAATCAAATGATAAAGTCTGCTCTACTGCATTTGACAACTAATTTCTGAGTCTTCAAGACAAGACTCTGCCACCTTAAATACAGTTCACTATTTAAATTCATAACACAAAATAAATAACTCTTCCCCGAGTTCCTCCCCCACAATACTAAATTGGCTTACCCCAGTACAACAATTTTTTGCACAACAAAAGCTGTTATTTAATCACCAGACTTGAAAAAATCCTGCACCAACCCATCTCAAAAATTAGACTCCACTTATTTATCAAACCCATATTTTCAAGCCACAGCAATGCAATTACCACTAGTGGCAGGTCTGCTCTAAGTGCAGCTATATGTTAAAACAAGCAACAAGAGGAGATTAAATGATTTTGTGGACAATTGTGTGTTTGATTTATGTCAACTGCCATTACCCTAAGACATAAAGCCTCTTTCTGGGAGGCTAAAAGCAAACCATTTACCATATAATATCAGCTTAGCAGGCTTTGTGCTGATGAATACTGCATTCAGAGAAGCAATTATTTTCATTGCAATTTCCACGTCTACCCTGCACCTCCTGGAATACAAATATTAAAGTTTATCAACTGGCTTCACATTTTAACTAACACTCAGCTTAAACTTGGTGGGAAGAATAACATTTTTATTGGAATAAACATGGACTGAGAAAAAGCTGAATCTGTAGGGAGAACATAAGCTTTGAAAGCAAGACAAACCCACTGCCTAGACAGATCCAGAGGACACAGACAGTGACTAAGCTCCTTGTGGTCACCACAGGATTCAAGAGCCATCCCAAACTACAGTAGTAACCTAAATGATTAAAAAAAACTCCTACCCATCATTCAAAGTTTAGGGACAAAAAGACAGATGAGCCAAGGGAGGCTTCACAGAGCTCCTGAGAAAGAACAGGTGAGCACATCTCAGTCACATGTACTGAACTCCAGTGTGACATGCCACATTGTTCCAACCCAGGAGAGTCCCACCAGGGACTCCACTGCAGATTCAAGGTCAGGTCACACAAGCAAGTCCACAACAGATCATCTGACAGAAATCCAAAATTTCTGTTCTTCTGGGAACATTCCCTCACCAAGACCACAGGCCGGCCCAAGTCCACTGCAAGTTAATGATGGGGTGTGCATTTGCTGTTTGTTTAAGACAGACTAACTTCCTGAAAAAGAAGGGCAGAAAGAAATAAAGCATGATACCTGTCTTCTGTAAATATTTGCGTCAGAATACTGCTTAGCTAGTGGCTTGGGATATGTTTTCCCCTGAAATGTTTGAGAAATAAGTGTTTAGAATTTTTTTAAGCTCTGTTAAGCAAAAATATTAAATTGAACATACAGCATGCCATGCACATTATGAAAAACAAATGAGTTCACAGAGGTATGCAAATCTGACTTTTCCTATCCAAGACATTTTTTAACAAAGACAGGAAAACATGCCGACATATGGCACAGAAGGTAAAACTGCAGCAATTCTATTGGATACAGTAACATATTTCTCAAATACAATGAGGGTGCCTGCTGATCATGACCTCTCAGGTCAGTAGCCTGTGGGCTCCTATTTCTTTTCACTCTTCAGAGTAAAATTAAAAGCTGATATTCTTTCATTCCTGAAGGATAAAGAATGAAAACAATTTTTCAGATTCCTGCATATATTCAGGCATCTTTTATGGAGCAGGCACAACTCTAGCGAGATTTATTAGTGTCATAAACACTCATAAACAAGATCCCTCTGTTTTAAGTGACTTAAAAAAACTGTAATCAAAACACTCAATCAGTATACCTGACAAACCCCAACATCTACAGTCAACAAAAAACGCCACTGCTCTCCAAAAAGAAAGTAAAAGCAAAACCAGTATCTTACAGTAAGATCCCACCAAATATCTTACAGTAAACTTCTCCTAAAAAAAACAAGCAAACAAAAAATAAACGTCGGCATTGCTTTTGATTCAGAGGCTACAGCAAGACTCACTTATTCCTAGTCTGGATTTTGCAAGAGCAAGCCAGGTACATCAGCGGAGGCACGCGTGTGAACTCTGCTATTCTAATCCAAGGCGTTCCAGATCAAGTAAAACCAAACAACAACTGCGCGACCTCTGTAAGCTCCCAGCATTTAACTTATACCCGAGTCAATGAGAATTGTCTAAAGACATAGAGAACGAGCCGGACAGCCAAACCACGGGGGCCTGAACCCCAAACTCCTCCGGCTCGGCAGGTTTGGGATTTGCTCCTCCCGCGGGTAGAAACTTGTGAAGGTTGTTCTAAGCGCGTTACGGAGATAATTTCGTCCCTTTACTTAGTTATTTCTAAAGCGGGCAGGACACCCTTAAGCCCAGAGCCACGTTCTGTAACACGAGTACAGCCCAGCCCTGACCCTGCCGGCGGGATGTCCGCACAGCTCCGGCCCTGCTCCCCGCGCCGGGCTCACCTCTGTCCCCGCACCGACACCCCCGGGGGCACCTCAGCCTCCCAGCCGGCGGCAGGGGAACAAGCCACCCCGGGGGCTGCGGGACGAGTCACCCGAGACGAAGGCGGGCGAACTGCCCCGCAGCCCAGAGCCAGCCCAGATCGTCCCCGCAGCCGAGGCTGAAGCTGCGCTCCCACAGCCTCCACGGCGATGGCTGCTTTTGCTGCCTCACGGTGCGGGGGGAGATCTCCAATTTCCAGTGGCAGCGTGCCGGGGCTGCTTCCGCGGGCAGCGCCGGGACAGAGGGTGCCCGGCTCCCCTCAGGACCCGACACGCCGCAGGACTCACCTCCCACCACCTCCGAGCGCGGCGCCGCCCCCGCGCTAATGGCAGCGGGCGGACCCGCGGCGGGGGCCGATGTTTACCCGCCGGCTCTCGCGAGAGCCATGCACCGCCGAGCCCCACTCCGCCATTGGTCGTGCCCGCCGGCGCGCATCGCCCGCCCCGCCCCGCCCCTGCCCGCCCCGCCCAGCCCCGTCCCGAGGTAGCGGCGGCAGTGTTTCGGTCGGCGTCGGCGGGCGTAGGGGCTGTTGTTCGCTGCTCCAGTTGTGCCATTCCTGAGCGCACCGCAGAGGATTGTGTCCAGACGGTTCTGGAATATCCCCAGCGAGGGAGACTTGCCATGCTTTCCGGACTCGGTCACTGCCCAGGACAGAAGTTCTGCCTCCTGCCCAGGTGGAGCCTGCTGGGATCAGTCCCTGCCCGTTCCTCTGGTGCCATCGCTGGGACCCTGGAGCAGAGCCTGGGCCCTGCTCAGAGCCCTCCCTGCAGACAGGGACACCCAGGGCTGAGGGCCCCTCTCAGCTGGGGCTCCTCTCCAGGCTGGACAGCCCCGGCTCCCTCAGCCTTTCCCTGCCAGAGATGCTCCAGGCCCTAAATCATCTGTGCATCCTCCACTGGCCCTGCTCCAGGAGCTCCATGTCCCTTCTGTGCTGAGGAGCCCAGGACTGGACACAGCACTCCAGATATGTCACACAGGGCTGGGCAGAGGGGCAGGATGATCTCCCTCTACCTGCAATCCATGCTCCTCCCAGTGCATCCCACGATCCTGTCCCTCCAGCCCAGCATAAACCTTGGCGCTCAGCAAGCTCTGCTAGTGGAGACTCACTGAAGGCTCATGGTTGTGACAGGTCTCACAGTCAGGCGTTAGGCTGGCCTCAGCGCTATGCAGAAAGCAGATCTGTGAGCTCACATTTGGAGGAGTGACAAAGGACAATCATCTGCTCCCATCATGACATGGAGCATGTGGAAGTGAGGGAAATTTTGTCTTGATGTCATCACTTGAGGAGAGTTGCTGATGAGGAGGACTTAACTGACATATTTGATTTATTTTACCTTGTTAGTCTTTATGTAGAAATAAGGAACGTAGAGTTCCATGCGCTAAAGCAGATTTCATGCCCAGAGACCTCACAATTTCAGGATCTACAGGCAGACCCAGAGAATCCACCATGGACCTTCCAGAGCACTCTGAACCTACCTGCTTGGTAGGTTTGAAATAACAGAAGCCTAAATTTAGCATGTTTTAACTTGAATGAGGTGCAGGAGTGCTTCCTGAAGAGACTGACTGTCCTTTAGGACATCTGAATTTCAGTCCTGTGGTTGTGTTTGAGGGTCCCAAGAGGGGGGAAGAGATGAAAATCTTGACTCCATGCTTCAGAAGACTGATTATTATATTATATTATATTATATTATATTATATTATATTATATTATATTATATTATATTATATTATATTATATTATATTATATTATATTTAGATATATTATATTATATTATATTATATTATATTATATTATATTATATTATATTATATTATATTATATTATATTATATTATATTATATTATATTATATTATATTATATTATATTATATTATATTATATTATATTATATTATATTATATTATATTATATTATATTATATTATATTATATTATATTATATTATATTATATTATATTATATTATATTATATTATATTATATTATATTATATTATATTATATTATATTATATTATATTATATTTAGAGATAAAGGATCCTTCAGAAGGAGGAAAGGAAAAAGGAAGATAATAAAATCTTGTGACTGCTCACAGCCTCAGCACAGGTGGCTGCCATTGGTCATCAAGTAAAAACAGTTTCACATGCTGGGTAAACAATTCTCCAAATCACATTCCAAAGCAGCAAAACATGGAAAAGTTGAAGCTTCCCAGATTCTCAGGAAAAACAATCCTGGCAAAAGGATTTTTCATAAAATATGTCTGTGACAGGTCCCGCATTTGAAACCTAAGCTAATGAAGTTGTGCACTCACATTCACCGTGTTGGAAGTATGGACACATAACCCAGAAACACAATTAGCAAGAAGGAAAAAGACACTCTACATAAAATAAATTCAAAATAAACTGGTTATGGAGATAGAAAAGAGGTATTTCACTAAGGTTCTCTTCCCAGAGCAGAAGTCTTAAAAAAGCTGTGTCAGTAACGGTGGTCAGTGGGAGTGACAGACATCCCTACCCCCTAGCAGGAATGAGGACTGGTTTTGACTGGGGATTTTGGGTGTTTGTAAGTTGTAAGCTTTGATTTCAGTACCTTACTCCTGTCTGCTCCCCAAAGCTGCCACCAGGAAGCTGGAGGAGGCTAGATCAGTCTGGGAGAGATACTGAGGCCCAGCTGTGAAAATGGAATGAATATTCACAATGTGACATTCCAGTTCCTGCCTTGCTGCCCATGCTCCTCTGGTGGGTCCTGCCAGCACAGCAGATGGCAACACTGAAAGGCTGTTGTACCAGTGGAAAATTACTGAGTTTTGTTGGTCCTGTGCATGTATGTGGATGTATGAGGGAGGAAGTGGAGCAAACTTCAATTTATTTAATTATTTCCAAGAGAGAAAGGGGGGAAAATGGCTACCTAAGACTAAAAAATTACTGGCATATAAAGAACTGGTGTCTTCTTTTAGAGGAATGAGGCATGTCTGTTTGCATTTCCAGTTTTCTGTATGATTCCATATAACTTTCCTCATAAGTCAGGATTGTGAATTTTTCTAAATAAAAGTGCAATTAAAAAGAGAAACAGTATATTAATAAAAGCACTGGCTGTTCCTTAACAAACCTATGGAAAAGCTAAGTATTTCATATTTCTATTTTTATGCGGCTGTAAAAGTATTTATGGGAGCAGACATGCCATCGCAAAACACACATGGTTTATTTTAATTTTCTAATTTTAAATATATATTTTTAACAGAGCTGTATGCATAGAAGGTTATCTCACTGCTATAAAAGTGTGATTAATGGGCTCACTACTGTAGCAGTTGAAGTTAGTGGGCTGGTGCCTCTTGAATATTGGAGTTGTCCGTAGTGTTTGAAGGTTTGCACACCTAAAGAAACTTACAACCAAATGCTCATCCTGAAATGAACCATGGTAGAGCCAAATCAAGCAGATGAATTTGTTTGTTGTTGAAGGAGAGCTGACAGAAATACCTAAGGTTTTAACCCAAAATGTGACACAGTGTAACCATTACCAACAGCCCAATAAATTTTTGTTTCTGTATATTTCCAGAGTTAGCCCAGAATATAAAAATATAAGCGCCCATTCACCGTGGAGAAGGGCAGCAGCTCTTTAAGCTGCCAGGCATAGGAGTTAGACAAACATTTTGAAACAGAATCTTTGCTCTGAGTATGCAACCTCCTGCAGGCTGTGTGCTGTGCCACTCCTGCAGACTGTGACAATCAGCCAGGGTCTTGTGCCCTCTGCTCCGGCGGCCTCGCTGCAGCAGCAGCAGGATCCACCCCGGGACGCAGCAATTAAAGGCAAACATAAAAGCCCAAATACCTCTTGCAAATTCCACCGAACCTCTGAAGCCTTCAGAAAACTTCGGGGAACGTCTGTGGCAAAGCAAAACAATGTCCCCGTTATTGCAGATCAAAGGAAGGAGAGCTTGCCAGAGAAAGGACATTGATGTGAGGGTTTGACATTTCTTTCTTTGCAGTCAATTGCTGTAACAAATCCAAATTACTGTATCAGAGTCATGCTGGAGATGTCTCTTGGAAAGATTCAGAGGGTGTTTTAACCATGAAAGCTCCCTCTCAGAAATAACCTAGAAATGTTTAATTCACAAGTAGTTTGCATCTAACTACTTAATCAACATTTAGGAATCAATTCTGACTTTCCTTCTTACTGTTTTCCTAATACATCCCAGGTGTATTTCTTAAGAATAAGACAGAAAAAAATCCAGAACACTTGAGATTGGTCAGAAAATAATGCAGAGCTAGGTAAGCATAGTGCAAGCCGTTCAGAAACATTCCCACAAATTTTCTGCTGGTTTGTTAGGACCTTTTTAGCTGCTGTTGATACTACTTGTAATCCAGATTGTACTTGTAGCTCCCTGGTCTGTCTGAATAACAGAAATCTATGTTTTTTTTCTATTCAACAGGTAGAAGGCCAGGAAAAAACCCCAAATGCTTTAATATGTTTTATGACACTTTAGTGCTGCTACACAATTCTGATAAGATTTCACACCTGCTGAGTGCACTGTAGATTGCCTGATTTCAGTGGGGCACAGTAGTGAATCAAATGTTCAGAAAATGCTGCAGCATAGACAAAAATGTATTTTCTTAATAGGTGGAGTGCAGTTTTAAAAAGAGGCACATATGGTCATGCTTCATATGCAGTGTCTCACAATTGAATTAAACAGTTAAGATCTTGGGTCTGCAAACTCTTGAAGAATGAGACAACTCAGAAATTCATTTGGTTTACATCTGTGAGACCATTCATAGAAGTAACATTTGCTCAACCAGTTGTTTCCTGCCATGCTCCATCTTCAGGAAATCATCATCAATATTTATAAAAACCTAACAACATCAGAATGTCTGCACTGGTTCAGAGCTGGGCTCTGTCTCAGTCCCTTTTCTGCCTTCCTAGTGATTATGGCTTGACATCTAGGGAAAAGGAAGAATGGAAAAAATTCACAAAGGATTCCTTTAAAACCCTCTCACCCTTCACCTATCCCAAGCCTGATGTCGTCTGTCTAAATAATAACTCGGGTTTTGGTCTTCCAAAAGTTTCTGCAGTCTGCTCTTAAAATCCTGGAAACATCTTGTCTTCCCAGCACATGGGACAGCCTGTTGAGTGAAATTCATCTCCTTTGGCTTGTCCTGAACCTGGTTGTGAGAGCATCTTGGTGTGGATCCTGAATTTGTTACCAGCACAGGTGATGAACTGTCAATTCATGTCAATCCTGGCAGTGCTACTCTTTTTTTAATATCTTGTTCCTTCTCAGTT